AGGCTGCAGTCCTTGACCCTTTGCAGCAAGCGCTACAGGTCCTCCTCAGTTTCAGCAAGCAGGGTTGTGTCGTCTGCATATCGCAGATTGCTGATTGATCTTCCACCAATCTTGAGCCCACATTCCTCCTCATAGAGCCCAGCCTCCTGGATAATCTGCTCTGCATACAGGTTGAAAACATATGGAGACAGGACACATCCCTAGCGTACGCCCTTCCCAATTTTGAACCATGCAGTGTTTCCTTGCTCTGTTCTGACAAATGTCTCTTGGTCCAAGTATAGGTTTCTCATTAGCACGATCAAGTGTTCTGGGAACTCTTATTATAGGCATTTAGAATTATTGTTTAAAATCTAGTGAAAAATACTCTACTGGCTATTGTGCCCACTTGCTGTACAGAGGTAATTTATGGTTGCTGTGAAGCTAAATACTGTGACACTTATGTGTCAAATGTAATAATGGTTACCCATGGTGGACAGTTTTTGGTGGTACTCCCTGGTTGAAAGAAGCTTGGAAGCAGGAGTGGCATCCACTTCCATAAATAGCTTGCCTCTGGAAACCCTAGGAACCTGGAGAAAGGATGAAAGTCATGCACCCAAGTGTTGAGGACTTTCGTTCATAGGGTTGCTATGAGTTGCCTATGACTGGGCGGCACTTAACAACAACAACAACATTGGCTAACAAGGTCGGTGATTTTAATCTGCAGCCCTCAGGCCTCGTTTTAACTGGTTTTGGTCAAATATTCTTCTAAGTGGTATAGCACTGGTCTATCCATTTGCTATAAAGAGGTAACTCGCGGTTGCTGTGATGCTAAACACTGTGACACTGATGTGTCTAATGTGACAATGGTCACCCATGGTGGACAGTGTTTGGTGGAGCTCCTTGATTAAAACAAGCTTAGAATCAGGAGGGCCATCCACTTCCAAAATGGCTTGCCTCTGGAAACTCAATGAACTTGGAGAAATGATGAAAGTTATACAAGTCTTAAGGTCTTTCGTCCATAGGGTCGCTATGAGTCATGTATGACCCTATGGCACTTAACAAAAACAATTGGCTAACAATGAAAATCTAAATAGTTTTTATTGAAATTAGGTTTTTATAACTGGGTAAACACACAACTGCAATGTTCAATATGAAAAAAAGGAAGGGAAAAGTCACTTGAAATATACTCAAATGCTACTGATTTCTCTGTTTTTAAATAAAACTCTTAACAGGCTATCTCCAGTGCAAAAATAAAAATTGTAGTAATCATCTCACCTTTTTGCATTAGTAATGCAAATGATCCGTCCTCTATTTCCAACACGTTCCGCGTTCTCCATTAGTAGAGTACGAGCCTCATGTTGGTATTCTGTAATTTTGCAGAGGGTTTCCACAGCTGCAACTAGTCCGTGCAGAATACTGCAGCATTCTGGATCAGCCCGAGGATTAGGAGGCCCAACAGCAGCTAATGCTGCCATCAACTAAGTAACAGGGAAACAATCACATTAACAAGAATAATTGGAAATAAAAAAAAAATGACACAAGAAAACTAAGAACTGATGGTTGTTATAGATGTGAAAGTCTTCCAAAAAAGTACCAGCAAACAGACCTAAGAATGTATTTTAAAAACCTGTATCTCCAATCAATTGAGTCTATCCTACATATTTGGTTTAAAATCTGTGAATAAATTAATGTTTGACATCATATTAACAAAATAAAAAACAAAAGCACATGATCAACTCCAGAGCCACAGAAAAGATATCTGACAAAATCTAAAACAGTAGACAAATTAGTGACAGTGACACAAACAATGGCAAAACAATCAAGAAGTTAGAGAATGAAATGTTCTCAGTCTGATAAAGATCATATTGTACAGCTTATTTAATGGTGAAAGACTGAATGCTTTCTCCTAAGAACAGAAAACAAGATCTCCAAAAAAACCAAGGCAATGATGTCCAATTTCACCACTTCTATTTGATGCTATGCTGTTAGGTTCTAACCTGAGTGATTACTATTAAAGGGGCAGGGGGAAGGCATCCTGTTTAAAAAAGAAGCTATCGACCAGAGTTTAGCTACATAGAAAATCCTAAGGAATTCATTAGAAATATTATTAATATATGGGGGAGCTCTGGTGGCATAGTGGCAAGAAGCTGTGTTGCAATCCCAAAGGCTATGGTTCAAATCCTCCAGAAGCTCTGCCAGAGAAGGAGGAGCAATCTCCTCCTGTGCCAGTTAGATTCAATTGGACAGTGCGCACACACACGAAATATTATTACTATAAATTAGTTCAACAAGGTTACAAGATTATAAAACAAAAGTATTCGTTTTTTTGCACTTGCAGTAAAAAATCTAAAAATTAATAATTCCACTTACAACAACATAAAAAGTCAACATGAAATTAGCACAAGCTGCACACCCATGTTTATTGTGGCTTTGTTCACAATAGCTGGAAACAACCCAGGTGCCCATCAACAAATGAATGGATAGAGAAGCTCTGGTTTATTCACATAATGGAATACTTTGAAGCATTGAGAAACAAGAACTCATTAAATAGTATGCAAAATGGGTGACCCTGGAGAACATTATGCTGAGTGAAATATCTCAATCACAAAAGGATAAACATTGCATAGGACCAACCACTGTTGTAAAACGGGACTTGGGGTTGAGGGAAGACAGAGAACGAGGTGAGAAATAATGTAAGCTGATAGAAATTCAATGATGTATACGGAAACAGATGAGAGAGAGAACGGTTTAAAAGGGATATATGATTGGGTATTACTGTCATGACAGGAGTCCAGAACGAAGGCTGCACAGTGGAGTGGACTAGGGGGGAGGGATTGCTTAACAATGAAAGAGGGTTTTTTTACTTTTAAGGAAACAAGTGAATTGGGGGGTAGGGAGTAGGCAGGGAGAAAAGTACAACAATGAATGACTGGAAACCCTAAGTCTCTGTAAACTTTCATTAAAATCAATTTTAAAAGATTAACAAAAGCAATGTAAAATATATACTATGAAAGCTCAAAAACTGGCAAAAAGAAATTAAAGAAGATATACCTTGGACATGTTGTAAGGAGGGGACAGGTCCTTGGAGAGGGACATCATGCTTGGTAGGGTGGAGGGACAGTGCAGAAGGGGAAGGCCCTTTATGAGGTGTATTGATTCAGTGACTGGGGCAATTGGGATGGGTGTACTGGAGATGGTGCGACTGGCACAAGCCAGAGCGGAGTTTGGGGCTGTTGTACATAGGGTCACTATGAGTCGCAAGCGACTCGACGGCACATAACAACAACATAAGCAAGTTGCAAAAAAAGTTCATATTCATCTGTCAGAAGACTTAATACTCTTAAAATTTCTACACTACCCAAACTCAGATCCAACACAATCCTTATCAAAACTCTGGCTCACATCTGTAAAGAATCCTATTCTAAAATACACACGGAATTGTAAAGGAGACTAGACAAAACAATCTTGGGGAAAAAAGAAAGTAGGTGGATTTACACTTAGCAAATTTCAAATTTTACTTTTAAAAAGAGAGTATAGTATGTGTACAATGAGAAACATACAAATTCATGGAATAGAACTGAGGATCCAGAAATAAAACCACACATTTAAAAGCCACCAAGTCTGTTCAATGGGAAAAGAATAGTATTTTCAACTATTACTGTTGAGATGTCTCACAGTCACATTTGAAAGAATGACATTAGACCCATATCTAATTTTCATATATGAAAATTAACTCAAAACAAATCAAATACCTAAATGTTAACAACTGAAACCATAAAACTTTTAGAAGAAAATGTAGGGATAGGGATAAATGTTTTTAATCTCAAATTTGGCAAAGGAGTCTTAGTCCTGACACTAAAACACAAAAGAAAACGTCGACTTTATAAAAATTAAAAATTTTTGCATGTCAGAGGACACCATAAAAAAAAAATGAAAGAAATCCCACAAAATGGGAGAATGTACTTGCAAACCATAATTCATGAGGGACTAGTATCCAGATAAACAAAGAACTTCTCCAACTCAATTACAGAAACATCAATAACTCAATTTTAAAGTGGGCAAGGGATGTGGACAGACATTTCTCTGGAAACAATGCATATATGTCAATCAATACATGAAAAGATTCTTGACAGCCTTGTTATTAGAAACAGTTGTGCTGCCAGCCTAAACACACCCAGTTCAAATCCCCTCGCTGCTCTGCTAGAGAAAGAAAGGTAATCCCTTCCTCTGCAATTAACTGCCTCTGAAAACCTGCTGGTGGTTAAGCTATGAGTCTGTTCCAGCTTGATGGCCCACAACAACAATAACTAGAATCTTTACAGTCTTTTAAGAACTATCTGTGTAAAATCAATCTGACAACGGTAACTTAAAAGACTGGATCATAAAAAAAAAAAAGAAAGAAACATTAGATCAGAATGTCAGGGAGAAGTTTATGTTCATAAAGGAAGATAAACACAGAAAACAAGGGTATGAATGGCTGCACAATTCAAAGAATATAATAAAAATCACTAACCTGTACTTGAAAAACAGCTGAATTTGTGTTATCTTTTACTGTGCACATTTCTCAACAACAAAAACTAAAGAAAAAATAATTATAACAAGTGTTGGTGGGGATATGAAGACATTAAAACCCTATCCACTGTTAACTGAAAAGTGCAATGCTGTAATTGCTCCAAAAAAGTTTTGCGATTCCTCAAATACTAAAGGTTCTTTTATTGTCTAGCCACACTGTTACTGTTGTTATTACATGCCACTGAGTTGTTAGCAACTCAGAGACCTAAGTACAATATTGCTCTGAACCCTGCCCTATCCTGAGCCGGTCTGAGAGCTGGACTGACTAGCCACAAAGAAATAAAAACATGTTTATACAAAAAACATACAGAAATGTTTACAGAAGGATTTTTCACAATACCCCAAAAGTAGAAACAATTCAAATGTCCACCAACTAACAAACAGAGAGAAACAAAATGTGCTATATCTATACAACAGAATATTTGGATATAAAATATCATCATCCCAAGTGAAAGCATCCACATATACAAAACATCCAGAACTGAGAAATCTACAAAACCAAAGTAGATTAGTGGTTGTATTGAGAAAAAGAAACCTACAAAATAGGCAAGTGACAGTTAAAATACAAGAGAGTATGGTTTTTATGGATGGGAATTTTTAGCAATAATAGTGCTCTGTTCTAAAATTGTGATGACAGCTCCACTTATCTCTAGTATACTTAAAATTTTTGTAACATATACTTTAAAAAAGTAAATTAAAAGGTATGTGAATTATAATCTCAATAAAATTGTTTAAAAAGGAGTATGGTACAAGTACTTCATAAATTATGACATGATAATGTCATGTTATATCTGGAAAATATAATTTTTTATATCTTTAGGGATAAATGAATGAAATTCTCATGGAATATTCAGTTAACATCTCAAAACTCGTTGCTATCAAGTCAGAACCAATCCAACACTAACCCTCCGGCAGATTTCAGAGGCTGCAAATCTCAAGGGAGGAAACTGCTCATCTTTCTCTCACAAAACAGCTGGTAGACTTGAACCACCCTCTTCTGAGTTGGCAGCTCAACTTACCACCCATTAGGCTACCAGTTAACACAGAATTTTATAATCGTCTTCCTAAGAAACATCCACTCCATCTTCCACTCATAGCAACTCATGTGACAGAGTAAGGTTTCTAGGCTGCAGTTCTATGGAAACAACGAATGGGTTTGAACCGTCAACCTTTCAGTCAGTAGTCAAATGCTTAACCATTATTACAACATCAGGTCCTTTACCAGAATAACAGACCATATAACATGATTTTTTTTAAAAATGCTTTGATACACCTCTTCAAATAAAAGTTTTTAAAAATTATGCTAAGGCTGCTAATATTTCCACTAATAAAGGGATAATCGTAAAACTTTAAAAAAAAAAAACAACAAACCTTGTTACTCTGTTCCTTTTAACTATAGCTTGTGTATTGTCAGCCTAAAAGTTGGGGTTTTTTTTTTTGTTTTTTTAACAATAATAAAAAAAATTATTTCTGGTTTAAAAATGATCTGGTTCCCTCCTGGGTGAGCAAAAAAGTTGGTTTTTTTAAGCCATTAGTTAGCCCCCTCTGGTTTCCAGCTATCTTACCTGCAGACACATGGTTCTGCAAATCATCACCAGCTGTGGAACTAGCATTAGAGAAAGAATGCTTTCTACACTGAGAAGGAAGTCTCAAGGTGAGCAAGATTTGTGGTGGCAAGACTTGAGGAAGACTGGAGCAAGACCCTGGTGATAGTGGTGGAGAGACTGTGGTGTTGCTATGGAGAAACTGGGGCTACGTATGACTGAGGTTTCTTGCATTTGTGCTAGCTACATCAAAAGGTTTTTGCCATATGCTTGAAGGAAAAGCTGATTTATAACTACTCTGTGGCAAACCTTGCTGGAATATTTGGATTTTACTATTGAACTGAAATTAGAATTTGGACTAA